AAATATACTGTTTCATTAAGAAAAACTCATTTTTAATGCTACTAACACTTAGATGTTTGCACATGCATCTCTAATCTCTATGTATCTGATTATTACTAGTCACAGTTGGTTACTTTCTGAGATCGACCTGAGTATGGATATAAAATCATCGGGTAGATTTCAATGGTAATGTGTTTCATCTCTACCAATTAACATGGAGCAAGTTTTTATGTTTTTCCCTCAAATATAACTCATTTTTTGATTTGTTGATCTTTCTGTGTATATTTCATACAGAACATCCCAAATGGCACCCTGCCATAGTCTTGTTCACCCCCAACCCCCGCCACTGAAGCCCATATACTCTATCATCCCTGTTACTGTCCACTGTGTTGTCAGCGCCTCCAGACATTCTCCAGTGCTTTTCCATCTGCTGTTTGTTTTCTGAGTTCTATGCTGAGTTACTCTCTGGGAGTCTCTTGGGCAACCTTGGCCAACAATTTAAAGGAAGGTATCTCCTGTCTGACATTGTTTCTTGATATGTAGCCTTTAGCTATACACATAGACTCTTAAATAATTATATTGATCCTTTTAATCTTTGGTTATACTTTCCTTTTGGGCGTTAAGACTATACAGTTGGCCCAGATAAACCAATTTATTTTTACTCTTAAGGTTGTTTGAGGATCTGTGCCTCAGGGGTCACATGGGCATGGGAGGAGCCCCTGGCTCCTTTCTTTTACCAGTTCCATCTATGTGAAGATAAGTCAAAGGTCCTGCTCAATCGTGGCTGGCTTCACTTGGAAGCATGGAGGAAATGTTTCCTCTCTGTTGACCCTCCTCTTTGTAGACTGGACACTGGTTCAAGTCCATTTGGTGGGGTCTCCATGGCCTCCTTGATCAAGAGGACAGGTGATGCACCACAGTTATAAGACATTTTGAGAGATGCTCATAGTCCCCTAGAGATTAGTCGACCTAGGAGGGCAAGGAGCAAAAACTGTCCTTTATGTCCCTATGGCCAAATTAGTATAGGCGTCACAGTATGGCTGTTAGACATCCAAGAAGGTAAAGACCCAACGTTCTCAGATAAACCTTCCCTAGACATGTATTGTATTCCTTGAGCTAGTTGTATGTATAATTTGTCAGTAGGTTGTTCAATTAATATGGATCCCTCTGGTTTTTT